TACCAGAATCGTCTTCATTTTTTAAAAAAAATTAATTATAATAACTTAAATCTTTTAAAATTTTATATTACTTTCACCCGATTAAATGATATTGGTTCTAAGTGAAAATTATATAAACTATATTTACTAATCAAAATTTGAATAGCTTAATATAAAGTATAATTTTTTAATCTTTTTTTGTATATAAAATATTACGTAACGTGCCTCTGTTTGAAAGTATGGTCGACCATACATGACCTTATCAGAAAATAAGAGCGATAACTAATGTAAATTTAAAGTCAACATTCCTTAAATTAGATTACGGAGAATAATTTCCATAATTTTAAAGATTACTGTGTACTTAAAAATTATATATAAAAAGGCACTTAACCGTCATTTTCTTAAATTATGTTTCAACTGATAAAGACTCTGTGGAACAACAATAAACATGTCAACACTTTGTTAGTGCTCGTTAAGTGATTTACGAGCAATGAAAAGCGCGCAAATCACCGCTACTATTTGTTTTAAAAATCTATTTCTCTGTTATTTTCAACATAATGTAAATAATATTTGTTTCAAATCAGATTAATTATACTTTAAATCAGCTAATATTCCTCAAATAAAGTTTCAGAAATGTATATTTTATTTTTGGGAGATTTTTAAATCAGAAAATTAACTTTTGTTTACAAATGTGTCGCAAATGACCGATTTTAAATGATTTTCTGAAACCGACCGAAAAGTTGAGATTCCAATCTATATAATTTTTATTTGAAATACACCAGAATGTTTTGCTTACTAAAAATAGTAAATTTTATCAGTTAGCTTTCCATTAAAGCTAAAAAAAATCATCAAGAATGTTTTTTTAATTTATAAAACTTTATTTTAAATCTTAGAAGGTACCTACATTAATTTAAAGGCATTAAATAAGCTAAAATTGAAAAATCCGCTCGAAGCTCATTGATTAATAGAAGCCTTGTCCGTCCATTAATTTGAAGTCATTAAAGTCGAACGTAACACTGAAAAATTCGCTTGAAGTTCATCAATATTAATAGAAACTTTGTCTATTCATTAATTAGAAGACATTAAAAACAAAGGTAACACTGAAAAATTCGCCTGGATGTCATCGATTCTGGATGGACAAGATTTCCCAGAGTAAAATATTGATGACCTACAAGCCGTGGTTCAAAGTTAATTTCAAAGATTATGTCTGAAAATGTTTGGCGTGAATAATCACTGTGGATCAAATATTGCTGAACTACATGCATATTTTCAGTACTACCTTAACATTTTACCCCATGACAGTAAAATTGTATATATATATATATATATATATATATATATATATATATATATATATATATATATATATATAGTTATAAGCAAGAGATTTGTAATCTGATTATATAACGGTTGAATTTCATTTGGTACCAATATAACAGTTTCAAAATATAATCATTTATATTTTTTCTGACAGAACTTGTAGAATCTTGTCCAATTATAACGGTGAAGATCTCCTAAATCTGAAACCCATAGAAGTTGAAGAACTTCTTGGACCAGAGGAAGGATATCGGCTCGCCAGCATGTTGGGTTTAAAGAAAACAGCTCCAAAGGTAAATATAACCATTAAGTATTTTTTTATACAATGTGACTAATCTTTGACATAATCATTAACCTGAAAAATAAAAATTATAGACAATTACTAATGTTGGGTAATTGAATGACAAGGTGAAAACACAATTCTATAAAACACGTTTCTTCCTGCAAAAAGACTTCATCAGACTAAAGTGATGTTGCTATGGACGGGATTATATATTAGTAGCTGAATAGGGTAAATAAAAACGAAATCGCTGTTATCATTAAGGACCGAGCGGAAAGATTTAGTATGGCGGGATGCTATATATATATATATATATATATATATATATATATATATATATATATAGTCATCCACAGACAGATTCGATGTATCACAGCTCATCAGTGTGGATAAACATCCGCATCCCACAAGCCAGGGCATCAGTCGGAGATTTTTCCCTGAATCTGTCAGCTCTCGATAGACAGAAAGGTGAATTTTGACGTATTTATTTTATATATATATATATATATATATATATATATATATATATATATTTAGACAGTTTACGTTATTTTTATAGATAGAATTTATTTAAGTAAATGCTTTGTTTTTAATTAAACAGTATTAATTACATTTACCGACCTGAATGCTCAAGAAATTTTGTAGAAAATATGGTTTCTCCGACAGGGATCGAATCTGTGTTTCTGTACGGAAGCCGTTATTTGATCTGACGTGCTATACCATTTAGCTATAGAGAAGTATTTTGTTAGCAAAGTCCAAATTACTGTTTTTAAACGCAATATTCGACTATTTTTCATGATTTGAAGTGATAGATGAAAAATCGTCGAAGATTGTGTGTTCTGTAGCTAAGGTATAACAGAAAATATAAATGTCGGACTTAATCCATTTCATTATATATATATATATATATATATATATATATAT